GTGTGCCTTCTTGTTGCCTTTGTGTGTGTGTTTGCTTTGTTTCGTAGGCTTACTCGCCCATTTCGAGTGCCGCACGGGGCCCCAGCGATTACCCCCGTGACAGGAGGGCACGCGGTATTTCGGAGTAACGGGACAAGTTAACGGACGTCCCGTTAGTTTCGCACGAACTCAAAGTGAGAAGCGTGTGAGAGGACATGTGGCGAGGGCTTATTGTCATATTGTGTGGGACGTTTTTGGGGTCGCTGATTCGAACACTGTTCTCAATGCACGCTGAGATGTGCAAGTGAGGCGTTTTTGGGGGCGCATTCTGTGGGGGCAGATATGAATTCCCGCAATTGGACCCTTCTTGATGGGATGATTTCAGTCGCCCAAACAAAATCCTAAGTCGGGATAAGTGCAGTCATGCAGGCCACAAAACACACTATGTAGCAAACCGTCAAGCATCCACTGCCTCTTCATGCATGGTAACTGGTGAGACTTGGAAGTTGGAAAAGCGTTTCTTTCTCGTTCACCCTAGCCTATACGCACTATACGCAGAGAGACGGAGAGGAGTTTGCCAGTTCGTTGAACCTAAAGCTTCTCTTGCCAGAAGAAAGAGCGCACAAAAATGGCGGCAGCATCAGCTGCAGTTGTGAACGGGGTTTCACAGGAGACGAGGGCATTGGTGTCGGAGCTGCGCCGCCAATTCTACACACTTGGGTGGACCTCGGGCACTGGAGGTAGCATCGCCATCAAGGTCCATGATGACTCCATTCCTAAGCCCCAACAGCTCATTGTCATGTCCCCCTCTTCTGGTACTGCTGTCATTATCTTCTTCTGTAAATGAAGAGTATATTTTCTTTTTATCTATTAGACGATGTGTTCTGATTTGCTTTGAATGAATGCGTAGGTGTTCAGAAGGAAAGAATGGTTCCTGAAGACATGTATGTGCTTTCACCAAGTGGGTCTGTTCTCAAGGTTCCTTTTCCGAAGCCTTATCCCCATAAGCCTCCCAAATGTTCGGAATGTGCTTCCCTCTTCATCAAGGTATCCAGTTTCCCTGTCTTTACTTCATTTATTTATTTATTTATTATGTATTTGTTTTCGGTGTTATTCCAATTTCCAATTTGGGATTCGTAATGGGAGCCTAGAATATGATCACAATGCTCTGTTTTATTGGACCTCATTGCATATATTAGTTTTGAGATTCGTGAGCATATCATTGTGGATTAGAAAAACACCAATGGCTATGAAATGTTCATGATTTTTAGCTGCGGTTCAAAATAGGTGGTTGGAAGTCAATGACTGATTTTACATGAGGATGTGAATCATAGCCGGAACACTAGAACGGCACATTACGTAGAAGTTATCTGTTTATTTAGGAAATCCTTGCCAGGAGGTCTCCATAATGCTAGTGTTAAAGAATTATCTCTTTGATTTGTTATGAGTTAAAGAATAAGCTCTTTGATTTGTTATTTTTTCCTTCAATACGGAAACATGATCTCGGTTGGAATTTTTTTCCTTGTGTGTTGTTTCTTTCATAAGTGGGGCGTATGGACTTTTATATGATTTTAGTAGTTCACCTTGAATCCTAGATATTATGGTCTTTCATTTCTTTTGTTCTTGTGGTCTATGCAATTTCCATTCTGTGTTGTAAGATTCATGTAGAATGCAGTCATGTTGTCTAGACAAGAAAGTTTATTATTATTTCTCTAAATGTTCGTTGTCGCCTATCAAGTAATAACCTAAATCTTTTATTCCCTTCGAGGCTTATGAGATGCCTAATGCTGGGGCTGTTATCCACAGTCATGGAGTAGACTCTTGTCTTGCAACAATGCTAACTCCATTCTCTAAGGAGTTTCAAGTAATTCAGCACTTTGAAAATTACCATTGGCAGCCACACTTATTTTTTCTCATATTTGTTTTAGTTTAGTTATTGCCCTCTCTGTGTCTGCATTTGATCTTCCATTGCTGCCTGTATTCTTCTAGTTGTAGAATATTTTACCTTATGGTGTGCCACTCTAAGAGATTGTTCATTGAGATTAGAAACACATAATTCTTGCTTTTGGACATATCTATGTACTCTATATTACAACTGTGGTGCTAATGCACCAAAAGAAAATAATAGGATATCCAACTGACAATTTTGAAGGAACATACGGCATGGCTTGAGGAATCACTATTTCAAGCTATGTCATGTTGATGTAGGACCAGCTCAGTTCTAGTCCTTAGAGAGAATGCTGAATGGTTTTCTTGATCAGAATTTTATGGCTGTTGATGGCTGTAATGGATTCTTGAAGGAATAAGAGAGAAAATACCTGGAATCACTCACAAGGTGCCTAGAATCACTCTAGGGCATGGGAATCACTCACCATGGTTAGCATAAGTTGAAGAAAATTCAATATATTTCATTCTTTTGTGTAATACGTCCATACATATTTATAGACTCTAAACTCATAATAATCCTAGTAGTCAAACTGTTAGACTCATAATAGTCTTAGGAGTCAAACTGTTAGACTCAATAATCCTACTAGGACTCAAACTAAGCTGTCATATCCTACTTCAATTCAAAGAAGACTCAATAATTCTAGTCCTACTTATGCAATGACTCTGAAATTTTAAACATAAACAAACTATAACTAGACAAATAAACCCTATCATTGGACCCCACAGAAAATTGAAAAATGACAAAAATACCCCTACTGTCCAAAAATACAGAAATACATAAAATTTCATAAAATTCCAATTTTGACTCTTCAGCTCCTGCATCACATGTATTGCTTCAAAATTGTCAGGAATTATATGCCTTGTTGATACATACATTCTAGTGGTTTGGAAGGTCCAGTATTCTTTTTGAGACCATTGAAACTACATCAGGTCCTGACGTTATTATCAATTACCATAAACCAACCATAAGCATATTGGGAACTATTCATTCAATTAGCCTTTTCCCTCAAGACATACAGTGGAACATAATTCTGTATAATAGCTAGATTAATTCGATATACAGTAAGCGAATTTGATGATAAATGAAAGTGAAATCATTTTATTCAGCAATTCCCTTTACTTTTAACTGTTATATGAATTTTGTACTTGGTCTTTTTGGGTTCTTTGACACTATGTCGATCTTGGGGTTTTGTATTTTTTTTTATTGTTCAAGGCAACACCAAATTATGAAAATTACTACCATTTTTTTGTTTATCAGATGATCTATTATCATTTTAACAGTTTCTGGAAAGTAGTCTTCATAAACATTGTTCTAATGCAATGGTACTGATTTTCATCACTGAATATGATATACTCTAATGTCATGATAACTGTTGGTATCGTCTGTTTTTTTTAACAAAAATTGTAGCCAATATGGTGTCTCTGGAAATATATGCATTTGATGTTGTTTATGTTGTTACTATTTCCATTTTCTATTTTTGTTCTGTGTTTCATTTGGGATGTTTTGGAACATCATATTTACATATGATTTCATCATCTAACATATTTTGTTCTGTGTTTCTTTTTTATGCTGCTATCAAACTTAATCAGTTGGGACTGAACAGGTCCACCCCAAATTATGGTCCATATCATAGAGTTTCGGGTGCTGAAAGGAACACAAACATAGCTGTGAAGGCAGGGACTATGAATTTAAACCACTCACCTGAACCATCAAGAGTAAGTTTTGGAAGCTATCCTTTTCAGTTTAGATACATAGAGGATCTCAGGTTCACAAATTTTCTTTTCTGTTCTTTTTATCCTTTTGACCTCTTTAGTTATTTCTATTTGGGGGTTTGTTGATTAATGATGATTAAATTCATGGTTTAATGGACAACTTGAGGAATCCTTGCCTGATTGGTTTAGCAATTGTTTGATACAATTGAAATTGAGCTTTGCTTCAATATCTTGTTGGTTTTATGCAGCGTTGTATTGTTCTTGACATTGAAGGGACAACCACTCCTATATCATTTGTTATGGATGCTCTTTTCCCCTATGCCCGAGATAACGTGGGGAAGCATTTAACAGCAACATATGAAACTGAAGAAACTCAATATGATATTAAGTTGCTGCGAGCTCAAGTAAGGTTCTGTTGATCTCATTATTGCCTTTTACTTTACGAGTCTTGTGTAAAAAGCTTCGTGTTACACATAAATAACTGGGACAAGAAGACCCTTAACAATGGATTCTTTATACAAGAAGAGCCCAAAAGGTAGCAGCTATATTTCTTTTGCACTATTTATTTTATGAATTTTGTTCTTCTGTTATTATTAGCATTATAATGTACTGACCAGATTGTTCCTTGTTCTCATTTGTTAACTCTAGATTTGTTAACAGATATTAGATACCTGTTAGAAGTGAGGATGTGCTGGCGGACCACTGCTTTGTTAGAATTTCCTGTCAGCCTTTTTCTTACTTGTTCCTTCACTGGTGTTTGATAACTGATGATATAGGAGCTCCAACAGAATGTTGAAACCTGAAAAGTTTCCAAATAAAAAATGTCTCATTCAGCATTTCAGCAGTGTTGCTGAATGATTAAGCACATGCATTGAGTTGATTATTTTAGCTATAAAAATTTTATTATATACCAACAATACCCCCAGATTCAAGTCATTTTTAAGTTCAGAATCTTTTCAGAATTCCACTTTCAGCACCTATTTTGGTAGTTATCAAATGGAAACAGCAAAAAGAAACTACTAAAAGGGTGATGTATGATGGGTTAGTTTGTCCTATAAGTGTGGGACCTGATGTAGTAGGGTACAACTACTATTTTTTTATTGGGGATCAACAATAAAGTAAGGAAATCTAAACAGTCAAAACTATTAGAGTTGGGTTTAAGCCTTTAATGTTCTTCTGAAAAATCTTAGGCATTGTTAAGCTAAGGGATCATGGGGAAAATCATTGACAAATGGGTGAACCAACAAAGCTGTTTGGGGTCCTAGGGAAGGATAAACAATTGAAGTAGGGTGGTGAATTAACAAGTGAATATCCTAATTCTATATAAAGATAAGATTGGGGGAATTAACAAAAATAAAGAATTAAAGAAGACTGCTGTGGTTTACAATGATGGACTTTGCCTTGAACTACTTTCTGCCTTTCTGGCCACTAGAAGTGAAAGAAAAATAGTGTCTTCTTTAAGGGGAGTAAATGCAGTCGTGATCCATTTACAACTTAACAGACCAAATTTTTTACGTAGGAAAATCAGAATTTAAAATTTCTATTTGGTAGTGACATCTCCTTAGGTTTCTCCTTTCTGGAGTCCTTTTAACAGCCAGTTACATGTCTGATGAAACACCTTAAGTTTCTTGACAATTTTTTTTTCTTAGTCATTTTATACATAGGAAAATCAGATTTTATAAACTAGTCATTTTCCAGGGTTCTTGCTTGATCTTCACTTGCATGCAGCTTTGACTAAAGGCATGACACTTGTGCTGAAGCTTCTCTTGTCTTTGTCTTCTCTATTAGGCCTCTAAGTCCCCAGGGCCCAGACTGCTATTGCTGCCATTCTCTAATCCATCTTTGCAATCTTTGAATTTTGCATCATCAACAAATATATTTTAATTAGACTTCATGCTAAATATTCAAGTATAGTCTATATTAGTGAATATAGTTAGAGGCCAACATGGACCCAAGTTAAAGAGTTAATTGTTTATTCAACCAACGCTCACAAAATGGCTGGACACAAGTGGGAGGAAATCTCATAAGAAAATTACATCTGTGGTACCATTTGTCCATTGTTTTCAAGGCACCAATTGATATCTCTAATGCATTCCTTCTAATAATAGCAAGTATGTTGAAAGTGGGCTAATAGGTCACTTTCTCAAGATCCTACATCTTTAATAAAGAAGGCTTTTAGGAGCATAAATAAACAGAATAATATTATTTCCTTTTGTTTTTGGAGGGAGGCCAACAAACGGATTATGATGATTCAACTTCCCACTTAAACACCAATCTCCTCATCTAAATTTCAATCCTGTTATACCATAGAGGTTTTTGAGATTCAGAAGAGAATGACTACTTTACATGCCTTCCATTTTTTGCTTGCAACTACAGAACTATTTCATGATGCTCCTTACCTTCTGAGAAAAAAGGATGACTCAAATACTCACAAATAACTTTTCTGATGCTTTCCAAAAGAATAAAAATAACAAACAAGTCTAGACTTGCTCCTCTTTTTTCCAAAGATTGTTTTGCATTTATTTTATTGTTAAATTTGTTCGCTCATGTTCCATGAGATTTGTTTTGCACAAATCCTGATGTCCTAAGTATGGTTGTAAATTCCTCAAAGGGTGTATTTAGTGTGAAGTTATAGGCTACAGAATATTGGTTGTGTTATGTGAAGGATTCATCGGTTGTTTTAAATTTACAATAATGGATGCTAAATGGGTTTAACATCTTATACAGATTAAGGATGACTTGAAGCAAGGTGTTATTGGTGCTGTGCCTATCCCACTTGATGATGCAGGGAAAGAGGAGATCATTAGATCTTTGGTTTCTAATGTTGGAGCAATGATTAAGGCTGACAGGAAAGTTACTGCTCTGAAGCAACTGCAGGTAAGAAGAAAAGAATACTTGCCTGAACATGAAGGTCTTCTAGGAACCTATCCTTTTTAAAAAAATTTACTTATGCAGGGTCATATCTGGCGGACTGGATTTCAAAATAATGAACTGAAGGGAGTAGTTTTTGATGATGTACCAGAAGCTCTTGAGAAGTGGCATGCTTCAGGCATTAAGGTTACACATTTCCATTAAATTCTTTTAGTTCAACTGCAAGTGGATCATTATGCAGTTTAATAAATGGAAGCTCTTTGCAACTTGAAATTATAAAGATTTATGGTTTCAATGTTAATGGTTGACTCTCTATTTTTGTAGTACTTATATCTGCATAGGATGCTATCACTATTATGACACTATCTACCAATTTCTTAACAAAAAGGTGAAGAAAAACACCCTGCAACCTTGCTTTATTTGGTTACACATGAAACCTTATTTTCTAGCCACACCTACAAGCACAAGTTATTGATAAATGATTCTTTTGTTCTCCTACAAAAATGGCCTGTACATTGCTTACCTTGTTCCATATGGTCATTGCTTGGATAAACATGCTTCAAGGGTTTAATTCATTTTGTCCAATGGGAACTGCATCCATTTGCATTTTCAGTAGTGATGCATGGGTAATACATGTTAGTGTACCCATGTTTTATATAACATACCCAATATGACACTGGGCACTGCATCTCTTGTGATTGCTGCATCTGTGTTGGTGTCCCTGTCCATATGGATCATACTTGGGCATTTTAAATTTTCAATGTTTTCCGTATGATTGCTGCATCTCTTGTGATCTCTTGTTCATTCTATATCTATATCTCTATCTGGGAACAAGAACCTGCTTTTCTATACATAGAATGGCATCATTGATAACATTTCCCTCATCTGAGAAACACTTATTTAAGAAATAGTTGGATCAAGTTATGGGTATCCAATGAGAAAACGAAATGTTCCACAGGTACTTGAGCAGAAAAACCAGGCATCAATCTACGAATTGCACTTATGATGCATATGCCTTGTGCATTTTGTGGGGCATTAACCTTATATATTCTCGTATCTGTCTGCAGTTACACCAACCTGAGATCCAGTTGAAACCTTGATGGAGATGTAGTTGATGATCTTTTCTTCTTAATTTATTCTCTGTTTTCTGAAACGTTTTATTTTTTAATCTGGTTCTAACATTTCTACATGTTCAATATTTAGCTTGGCAACCCTGACTCAAGCTCTATCATCTGATTGATGCTGTTCCATTGTTTCTTTAACACAAAAGTTGGAGTAGAACTTGAGATGAATGCCTTTTGTAACAAGCTCAATTTTCTATTTCAACTAGTGTTTATAGTTTCAAATATGCTCTTTTTTGAAATGTGCATAAATGAGATCCCGTTTATTCTTACTCTAGTAATTACAACTACTCTTGTCTTCAGGTGTACATATATTCTAGTGGTAGCAGGGAGGCTCAGAGACTTATCTTTGGCAATTCAAATTATGGGGACTTGAGAAAATATTTATGTGGATTCTTCGATACCACTATAGGGTTGGTTTGCTAAATGTATTCCCCAGATTTAAGAAGGCTTACAATTGATAATTCTAGACTTGGTTTCTAATTTTATCCTATACTTCTATGTGCAGAAACAAAAGAGAATCACGCAGTTACTTTGAGATCTCCCAGTCAGTAGGAGTGGATAATCCATCAGAGGTCTTATTTATAACAGATGTCTATCAAGAGGCCATCGCTGCAAAGGAAGCAGGTAATATACTGGTGGAATTGATTATTTCTTAGCAATTGTTTCCAGAATTCTGTTATTTAGTTTTGTAATAGGGTAGTTTTCAGAGTCTAAAATGTAAAAAAATCTTTGGTATCATTCACAATTTTCTTTTGGTGGGGGAAAGGAGAACGATCTTTACCATTTTATATTCTTGGTTGCTACATCTATCGATATTTTTATATTCTGTTACTTGTTTCAGGTTTGGACGTGATAATTTCCATCAGGCCAGGAAATGGACCTCTTCCAGAGAATCATGGATTCAAAACAGTTGGATCCTTCTTGGAAATCTGAGACCAAATACGATCCTCTCATAAAGAAGCAGTTCTAATACTGTAAGCAATAAATAAAATCTTATGGATAAGTAAAAGCTATTGATAAACACAAGGCTGGGAATATCTCTGGGTCGGAGTCTCTCCTATCTAGGCTAGGCAAACAAACCACAACTAGACATTCAAATCTATTCTAGAGGACTATGACTCTTTTCTCCACATGGCAGACTGCTAGGATGACACAAAATCGTGTTAACAAACGGGACCACTTTAACCTCCTTCCATGCGCCAAGTTTCAGGAATCTCCGGGCAATACTTGTCTCCTACCCCTTTGGCCCCGTTTGTTTTTTGGGAAATAGGTAGGGAAGTTAGTCAGCAGGAAAGTGGTTACTGTTGACCTGTTTTACCGCGTTCTTTTGTTTTTTTTTTAAGCTGTGGGCCCTAAGTTATTTTCACTACCCCATCTCCAAGGAGGATAATTTTTTGACGGAGTAAAATTTATAAAATATAATAGGATAAATTTACCCATTTTACCTGGGTAAAATGAACACAGGCCTTTGGAGGACATCTTCTCTACCATCTCTTGATTTTTAGATTTAAACCTTGAAACCTAAACCCAAATCCTAACACTAAACCCAAAAATCTAAATTTGAACCCATGAAACCTAAAACTTAAATCCCTAAATACTTAAACCCTAACCCTATATCTTAACTTAAATTTATTGTATAAAATGCCTTTGATTGGACACGTCCTCCAAGGGGTAGGAGCCAAGTATTTTCCGGAATCTCATTTCTATTCTCTGTCACCGTGTTTAAGCATTTGAAGAAAGAAGGGTTAGCCAAAACATATTTCAAACGCTAATGGCATCTTTTTTGGCTAACTCATCAGATGGCATCTTTTGTTGCGCAAGTTTTGGTTCCAATCCAAGTCCAATTGACGGGCTAGAGTCCATTTAAAAATATCTAAAAATCCAAAACCCATAATCATGAGGATCATCACCTTGCTCACTATGTGATAACGAAAAGGTAGAAGCTTTGGTCACCGTCTTAATTATCTTAATAGATGGGGGTGCAACTTGCGTCGGTTCAACTTGAGCTCTGATAGATCCAGCCCACAATTTTACATTGGTTGGGTTTGGACTTTAGGGCTTCGGGCTGGGCTTAGGCCCCAGTTTTTTTTAGGCTGGGCCTAGGCCTGGCCCTTAGATAACTCAAACTTGCCTGAGCTTGGCACTACCTTATTCTAACCCAAGCCCGATGCATTTTATTTTCATAAACCATGCATATATGCATATATGAATGTATGAATATATGTGCTTATATATACATATCTTTATATTAAATTTTAATGTAGGCCGATTGACCAGCCCGAGTGCATTAAATTTCATTTTCAGCCGGCCTTAAGTTGTACAGTTCAGGCTTCACATTGGGTTCAGGCATTATGCCCAATTCTTAAGGTTGGGTCTAGATTGAGTTTAAACCCAATCCAACTTGCCCGACTTGCATTCCTATTATTATTATCTAAATGCAGTAAAAAGAGATGAAGATGGAGAAAGAATCTTAATTCAAGGATCTCCGGTATTTTATGCCGTCATAACCCTAATCCTAAATATTTTAACCTAGTTTATAGGAAATTCTTTAGATATGTGGGAAAGATTGAGAGAGCAATTGATAAATCTTAGATGTAAAACACTATCTGATTTTAGATGGTATTTGATGGAGTGCAATCCGGTCGGTCCTATCTGTCGGTTACCTCGCCTCTGATGGAATCTGGGGTGCCTAAAACAAGGAAGGAAACGAACACTTCCGGGGAGGAACCCGGTTAGAACACTCCAAAGCTCAAGTTAGTACTCTTGAGAAGGCAAGGGAAATGAAGAATTTCAAGACCAGAAAGCGCAAGAATCACATACCCTCTTCTTTGTGAGATGAGGGCCTTTTATAATTACCCTGTACACTTACTTCCATACCTCTGCCAGTTAGGGTGTCATTTCATCTGCTAGATCGAGTGTCATTTCCTCTACCAAATCGGGTGTCATTTCTTCTGCCAATTACCACTTCGGGTGTCATAACCTCCACTACCAGCTGTCAGGGCCGCCTCTGTCCGTCTGAGATGGCGGTGGCAGTTGGTCGTTGGATGGTGGCTGTCATGTGTTGGACCCTTAATCAGTCAGGTGCGCCGCCTCTGTGTACGGGTCTCCTGGGCGTCAAGTACGGTTGTTTAGTTAGGACACTTGGAGCCGAAGTGGTGTGTGAGGTGAAGTCTTGAGCTTGGATAGAAGTGTGGCCCGAACTGCCTCTGGGTGGGCAATTTGAGTCTTTGCCTTTTGTGCTTTTTGTAAGGCTCATGACCTCGAAGGGAGAGCTCAGGTTTCTCCTTGGGGAGCTTCAGACTCTTCAGCTCGGAACTTGGGTTGTAGGTTCCCCCATTGGGGGAACTCGGGACTTTTTTCCTCGGAGCTCGGGTTGTGGGCCCGTTGCCATGCCAAGCTGGCGCTTCTGCCAGGTCACTCTCGGTTGCTTCCACGTGTCGTATGGCCAAGGGGTCGGGTCAAATCTTCCTCCATCAATTGCCCTCCACTCCCCATGCTTGGGGTCGGGTCTTGACCTGGCATGGGGAGTTCACGGGATGACAGGTGGATTTTCCTCGGGACACTTTGGCCTCGGTCTAGGACTTCTCTGGTCTGACCTGCTTGTGTTCTTGGCTCAACCGGGATCGGCTTGGTTCGACCAGGGGTCAGTCCCGGGCTGCGTGTAACTCACGTGTGTAAACGATTTCAAATTTTTGAACGTAAACAATGCGCGCCAAAGTGTCTTTTCCTCGGGGAGTGCACAACTGATTTCGCAGGGAGCCGTTGGATGGTTTCGATCTTGGCCATTGATGTGCGGGTATAGTGGCTATAAATGGTGGGGGGCTCCTTGTCACTTTCCTCCGTCATCCTTCAGCATTTGTTCCTTGAGCTCACGTCCAAGCCTGTCAGCTCGCGTCACTTGTTCGTAGTCCGATAGCTTTTCCTGGTGAGTCATCAACCCTCTGTGTTTCGATGTCTAGCTTGGGTAGTTTAGGTAGTCTCCTGGGGGGGGTCCGATGCTGGTTCTACGAACCGAGCTGCTGCCCCCGATAGCCTTAGTGAGTCCGAGGCGGGGCCCGAGGTAGAGCTTGAGGAAGAGCTCGAGTTCGAGCCCGTTGGCTGAGTCACCTCGGGTAGTTTGGCATCCACCTCCCACCGAGGTCGGGTGCCAGATAAGTTCGGACCTTCCACTATGACGTCCAAAAGGCTTTG